ACCGTGCCCTCCGGGTTCCTAGGTCGACGCTCAACCACTGAGCAACACCAGCCGGGCCGGAAGAACACCTGTTGGAGAGCGAGTTTCATCTGACCAGAGAGATGCCACCAGGATCCCTGGGTACGGAGGGTGCCGAGTGCCGTCAGCGCGGAAGTGGTCAGGGCGTGGATGCCAGCCAAGGCCAGTGGCTTCCCACGTGCGTAGAGCCCGTGTCTGAGGACGAGCCCATGAAAGCGAGCCTTTGAGGGACGGCGGCAGGTGCAGGTGGCTTCCTGGTCTACCCCACACCCACAGGACCCATGATTTGGGACCAAATCCGAGGGCTCCTGCCAGCCACAGGCAGCGGCTCAAGAGCAGCTCACCAGAGACCCAGTCGGTGCAAGGGGGCGGGCCTGCGGGTGGGCACGGCCAGCCCCGTCTCCGCAGGAAACTGGACCCACGGGGCTGGTAGCGCCGGCGTCCTTGCCAAAGACCCTGCTTTCCAAACACGCGGCAGGAAATTGATACTTAGGCCCGACGACGACGGGCCAATTTAGAGAGAAAACTGTCAACACCATCCTGCAATCCGGCCGGCCGGCGTGGCTCGGTGGTTGGGTGTCCACCTAGGAGCCAGGAGGTCAGGGTTCGATCCCCGTCAGGGCACCTGCCGGGGCTGCGGGCTCCAACCCCAGGAGGGGCTAGACCCCCCTCCTCCTCTGCCTGGGAATGAATGAAAATTTCAACACAAAATGCCCTGGCTGGTATGGCTCAGTGGTCAGAGCTATCGGCCTAAAAACTGAAGGGTCCCGGGTTCGATTCCCGGTCAAGGGCACAGGCCCGGGTTGGGGGCGCGATCCCCAGTCGGGGGCGTGCAGGAGGCGGCCGATCCGTGATTCTCTCTCATCATCGATATTTTGATGTTTCTCTCTCACTCCCTTCCTCTCCGGAATCAATAAAAACATATTTAAAAGAAAATTTTTTTCTAATTAAAAAAAATAAATAAATTCTCTAAGCGGGCACTGCTTTCCATGAGATTTGCCGGACTTGCCACCGGTAAAATCCTGAGGACGAGCTAAAAGGAGGAGGGAGGTGACTGTCGGAGATTTCACGGGCCCGGGACAATCAGGCACAAAAAGGGGTTTTGTTTTCTATTGAGTTTCAAGCAACAAAACCCCTCGTATGTCTCCAGGGCTGGGCATCAGACCTGCAGCCCAGGTCACAGGCCCATGACCGGGCATCGAACCCGGGGCCCTATTGGGGTGCGCGGGCCGACGCTCTAACCACGGAGCCACGACGGGGCCAGGGCCCGAGATCTCAGATGGTCCGACATCATCTCATAGGAATGACAGACGGGCGGCATCAACGACTCCCCCGGGGGAAGCGCCAGCTCTCATTTACAGCTTAAAATTAGCTCGGTTTTGGAGAGGCGCCGCCTGTCATCACGAGGGGGCGCCGGGTGATGGAGAGGGTGGCGGGAGCAGAGTCCCGGGAAGATGAGACGGGTTTATGGGCCTGGAGGGCAGCAGCCGCGTGATGCGGACACGCCTGGGTCTTCTGGCATCGCTGGCCTGCCCCCCGTCCCCCCGCCCCTCCTCCCGCCCCTCTCTCCTCTCTCCAATAGGACAAGCCAGAGGCATCAGGCTGCCTGGGGTGCCTCCGTCTCCTGCCGGAACCCCTGCCAGCGTCGCCGGGCACTGGGGCTTGTTGGGCCACCCAGGGCCACGGGGACGCTGACCACAGCCCCACGTCTGTTCCAAGAAGCTGTCCTCGCCCTGAAACCCGCCCTGCCACCCTGCTTGTTATAGCTGGGTCAGCGCCAGCCCCCCCCAACCCCCCCGCCTTTCTGACTCACAGCCACTGGGACAGACCTCCCGGGAGGAGCCAGCAGCGCCCTCGTCCTCTGCGTCCCCGAGCCTGTCACTGGCGGCCCAGCACCCAGAGGTCTGCTCTGTGTAGTCCCCGGGGAGGTGCCACCCCCCAAATTCTACACGTCTCGCGCGGCCTGCTGGCAGGGAGGGGGAGCAAGCAAGAGCAAGACTTCCTGCCCGGCCGGTGTGGCTCAGTGGTGGAGCACCGACCTAGGAACCAGGAGGTCCCGGTTCGATTCCCGGTCAGGCTCCATCCCCATTAGGGGGCGTGCAGGAGGCAGCCGGTCCGTGATTCTCTCTCTCATCATCGGTGTTTCTTGGAACAAAATAACCGAGACTCGAAACGAGATTATTTGGGTACACTTTTCCCCCTAGTATCTTATCAGTGGGTTGATTCATTTTCTACATGAATCAGTGTTTTCTTAACCCAGACTATATTGCTTGGGTTTTTGGTTTTTTTTTGAAAGTACAAAAAGCTACAGTTTTCCCAGAAAGGTTTCAAAACCAAACGAAGATGAATTTCCAACTTTAAGTTTGTTTTTTATTTTCCACCGACGACTTGCCTGCTCTTAGAGCTGCTGTCTGAGAGTAATGAAATATGTGGCCCTTGACTAGGAACCTGTTTGGCTCAACAAACTACAATGATTGTCACAGGCAGTGTTTTCTTTTTCCTGTTGGTGTTACCGATGTGTGAGCAGGCTTTCAGATGAAAAA